TTATTATTATTATATATATATATATATATATATATATATATATATATAAATCTTAAAAAAGGATATAACGTGTTGTTGCATTTTATTAAGTTATACGATATATATTATTATATAATTTAATGTAATATAAGCATAGATTCTCTCGCGTATCTCTTCAATCTCAATTGTAATATTTCAGATACATTGATATTATGAATAATGCGGGAAGTATTTTCTCAGATGTAATATGTAGTGCTTATAATCTGTTACAAAGATATAAAAATCATTATACACTTGTAAGGAAATATGAAAACTCGATTTCCATATCTGCCGAAGTACAACTCGAATTGAAAATTTATTTTTTATCTCTTCAAATCTAATTAATTCTAAAATTCTAATTAACTCAATCGACGATTAATTTATCAAATAAGATCCGCATTATTAATTCTTCTGTTAACAAAATTATTATTTTTTTATTATTTATTTAATGTGTAAAAAAATGATGATGAATTGTATAATTAAAAACTTGCTTTAAGTAAGCAATACTGCCAATTGAATTAATCGTCATTAAGGTAATCAGAGTTCGATTAAATTGCCTATAAAGCGATAGTTCAATCTTGTATTCAGAAAGGACTTTCAGGAGGACTTGGATCAAATTGATTTAATCAATGATTAATTTATCAAATAATATTTAAATTATTTTACTAATATGAAAAAAATTAATTTTCTGTTATTAAATGTATAAAAAAGATAAGATAACAATAAAATATATAATTACACGTATATATTTTAAGTAATCGATTCTATCGATTTAATTGATAATCAATTAAATGTCTATTTCTATCAATGTAGTTATAACTTTTAATCTTTTCATTAAAAAAATAATTCTTAGAGTTAAAAAAAGATAAAAAATAAACCAGAAAGATTAAAATTAATCTACATTGGTAAAAATTGTGTTTGAATATTGTGTTTGAAGTTGAATAAAATTTGATCCTAATTGTCCTTAATATAAATATGCTCTCCTATTTTGATTATCATTTCGATAATTGTATTATGTTACATCTTTTTCAATATATTCGGGAATAATGTAATTTCAAATAAATAATAAAATAATTTTGCTAATGTGATATATATATGCATTTAAATATCAATATGTATAAATATTTGATATGAAATATATAAATACTAAAAAAAGTTTAGAATATATTTTCAGTTTAACTTTTTCATTTAATGTATTATAACTTTTTGT